TGGAAAAAATCACGCTATATATTATGGGTTGTAATTATGCAACCACTTTTCATCCTAACTTTAATTAATTAGAAATTAAATTGTAGTTAATTGATGCTTAATTAGTTAGTTTTCTCATTGTCCTTATTTTGCATTGTTAAGTAATTTCTTGGTTTTTAGCACCATTTTAGAATAAATAATTGTATCTGAAAATATCTTGTGTGTTTTAACCATTTTTGTGTGAGTGATACAAGTAACAAGACTTCTAATTGATGAACTAGGGAGCAAGGCTACTACAAGATTTGAAATCCCCCTTCAGATGAAAGAATCCGCAAATTGTGCAAGTTAATACTGCTACAGTAGTCTCCAACCGCTATAGCAGTCACCCGAGACTCAAAGTTGTTGTAGCAGGTGTGAAATCTTTGACTGCTATAGCAATCATACGTGATCTGTTTTGTTTAATGGGCTTACAAAAGTTTGTAAAGAGCATAAGCATAATGTTTTTAAGGACAGAAAGTGACGAGAAACAAAGGGGAATTTGGTAGAAACAAAAGGGGGATTAGGTGGAAACACGAAAAACACTTTTTCTCTAGTTTTTCGGAGGATTTTCTCTTTATCTTCAATTCTCTTCTCTAGGTTTAGGGTTTTGGAGAGTTTTGAAGAGAAGTTGGTTGTGATTTAAATCTTTCATAATATTAGGTTGTAACCCTCCCTTTATGGAGGAGTAGATTCCTTGTCGTGCTCAGAGATAACGAAGGATCAAAATTGTTCTTGAGGTTCTCATTTTATATTTCAATTCATGTTTGAATTTTGATTCCCTTTATGACTCTTTTAATTATTATTGTGGCGATTGTTGTGATATTGTTTTAAGAGTTGTTTGTTATGTAGGAGATTGTTTACATAGTTTAAACGTCTTTTGGGGAGTTAGTTCGATTGATTTGATTTATCCCAATTGGAAAGAGATTGAAATTAACTCCGTTAGGATTTAAGCTATTGCAATTGATAATTAAATTTGCATAGGTTTATAGGTTCACGATTGTAAGCACTAGCTCTTGTGTTAATTGAATCCTTAACAAAAGTGCGATCGTATGATTGTTAAGTAGAATTGCAACGTTGATTATGCAATTGTAGAATCTACGTAGGTAACTACTACCATGACTTTATTCTATTGAACTTGGGATAGAATAATTATTGATCTGAAGGAATCTCTGTGCAAGTAATTTTTACAATATAATTCTTTTCTCAATTTAAATTATTTCTTACAATTCTAAAAACCTTAATTTCATAGAATCAATTACATTACTTCCACGTGAGACGACCTGAATTACACTATACTGCATTTTCTGTGTAATTTGGTTATAAAAATTATTTTAATTTGTCGTGAGTAGAAACATCTCACACGTCAATATACTTAAAGTAAATGTCCCTCCCTCACCTGTAGCTCTTGCACCTATACCTTCTTCACCTGCATATTCTTCACCTTCTTCACCTTCTTCACCTGCATATGATTTCGAGGATGAAAAATGTCACTTTCGAGCATATTCCTCGGGAAGACAATCAGTTCGCAGATGCCCTCACTATTTTGTCATCCATGCTTGCCTTAGATCAAGAATGTGAGATAACAATTATCCATATTAGGTTGCATGACAAACAAGCTTTTTGCATGGCAGTAACCAGCGAGGAAGACAAATCCCCTTGGTATCATGACATCAAGCGATACCTCATGAAGGGTGAATATCCCGAGGGAATTAATGATAATGACAAGAGGACCATTCGGAAGAGAGCCATAGGGTTCACACTGATTGGAGGAACCCTTTATAAGAAAAATTTTGATTCTAGCTTATTAAGGTGTGTGGACCACGAAGAAGCTCAAACCCTAATTAAGGACATTTATGAAGGAGTCTTCAGAACTCACATACTAGGGCATGTCATGGCAAGGAAAATCCTCAGAGCAGGATACTTCTGGTCCATAATAGAGCGAGACTGCCACCAGCACGCTAAGAAATGTCACAAATTCCAGGTCTACGCCGACAATGTTCATGTCCCACCGGCACCCCTCAACATCTTGGCCACACCATGGCCATTCTCCATGTGGGGCATGGATGTTATTGGACACATTGACTATTTCACCAAATGGGTAGAAGCAGCATCCTACGCACATGTGACCAAGAAAGTGGTGACTACCTTCGTCAAGAAAAATATCTTGTGTCGGTATGACATCCCTCATCGTCTCATTATTGATAATGGGACCAATCTGAACAATAAGATGATGGAAGAGTTATGCCAAGATTTCAAAATTCAACATCATAATTCCTCTCCATACCGACCCAAAATGAATGGTGCAGTAGAAGCAGTCAATAAGAACATTAAGAAAGTCATCCAGAAGATGATAATAACATATAAAGATTGGCATGAAATGTTGCCCTTTGCCCTCCACGGATATCGGATTTCCGTACGGACCTCCACAGGAGCCACTCCATTTTACCCCGTATACGGAACAGAGGTCGTACTACCAGTAGAAGTCGAAATACCCTCCCTGCAAGTCATTATGGAAGCAAAGTTGACAAAAGCAGAATGAGCCCAAAATCTATACGATTAGTTGAACCTAATTGAAGAAAAATGATTGGACACCATATGTTATGGACAAGCCTACCAAAAGAAAATCAAAAGGGCTTATGACAAAAAGGTCAACCCCCACACTTATCATGAGGGAGATTTAGTGATAAAGAAATTGCTTTCAGCCCAGAAGGAAAAAATCGGAAAATGGGCGGCAAACTATGAAGGGTCTTTTATGGTCAAGCGAGCCTTCTCAGGAGGAGCTCTTATCCTCACCAACATGGATGGAGAGAAACTTCGACATCCGGTCAATTTAGATGCGGTAAAGAAGTATTACGCTCAAAGGCATTGCTCATGACCAGCTAGGATGAAAACCCACAAAGGGCGTCCTGGGCAAAAGTTATGGTCCATACACCTCGTTAGGATACGTCATAGGCAAAACTTAGAGGTTAAAAAAAAGAGAGAGCAATGACTATCTTAGCTGAAAATCGCAAGGCGGCTAAGATAATGTCCTTCCAGAAGCAGACAAGTTTTGCATAGTCTTCACTCCGGGCTCGAGCATCTTGACTGAAACAACTAGAAGAACCAGGGGGCAAATATCAGAGGCATGATTATTATAACTTATATAGTGTAGCCAACCTTGACTAGCCATACTTCTAAATTCCTTTGTAAATTGTTTTGTGAAAAATAAACCATTTGTTTATATCAATAAAATTGTTTTTCATTTCTTTCGTCTTGACCAAATTATGAAAATGCCTATGTATTAATGAATCATAAACATACATAAAGAACCAAAACAAGAAAGCATTAAAAAAGAAAAAAATGAAAAATAAAAAAATAACGCCTGCTAGGAGATTCTTAGGCAAAGATTAGGGAAGCCCGCTAGATTGAAAACCCGTAAGGGGTGGTCTAGGCAAAAGTTAGGGCATTCATAAAAAAAGTCTGCTAAGATATCCTAGGAAAAAATTAAGGCAGCCTGCTAGATCGAAAACCCCAAAAGGGCGATCTAGACAAAAGTTAGGGTTTAAATAAAAATAAATAAAAGAAGAGTCCATCAGCATGATCATAAAAGTCCAGTATGAGGATGCCACTTTTCTAGATGCATCAAATAAAGTGCATTTAAAGCATTCACACACAAGTAGTCGCACAAAAGACTTTGTCAAAATCATGAAAATTAACCCTTTTTCACAAACATTAAGCATGCATATAAGGAGACTAGGCTCCATATTTGTGACTGAAAACAAGAAGCACCTAGCACAACTTCGTCATCATCAAACAACTCAAAATTGAACCAAGAGCATCCAGAATCAAAAGCTCCAACTAACATCCTTCCACCAAATAAAGAGAAGGCATTCTTTACAACCAATACAAAGTCGACCGAAAGGCTCAATCCCCAAGCGGATCATTGCCTACTCCAGAGGCAAACAAAAACATCCTCGCACGACTCAACATCATCGCCACAACGAGTCATCAAACATACACAATCCATTCTCCATCACACCCCCATGGGAGAATAAAGGCTTCGTGAAAGCCCATCACCAACATAATCTAGGAGGCAAGACTCTGTTCCCTCACCATAGGACTACCAAAATTAGATCCCCAGGGAAATAAGAATTCCCCAGCGGATAGCCAAAAAAAAAGAGAAAAATCTATCCCTAGTGAGCCTACCGCAAAGGTGATCTTCAAAGACATATCCTCAGTGAGTCGTTCGCCTATGCATAGACAAAACCTAGCAAGCAAAGAGCCAACATTCCCAAAGGGAATATCAACCTACTAAGAGGCAAAACAATACAAGCCAAAAGCCTTCACTTTCGATGAAGCATCTGCCTATTCAGAGGCACCATCTAAATCAACAAATCCCCAGTGGATTCCTGCCTGCTTAAGAGACATTCATCAGAAATCCCCAACAATTAATGAGTTGGATGGCTACATAGAAAGGCTAAAAATACATTTTCAAACAAAAATCACTCCCCATGGAGCCGACGCATGAGCTAGAGCAGTAAGCCGCCACCACTTTCTCTATCAGAAGGATCATCCACTACAGCAAAAGGGACATCCAAAAGATAGAGTTCCACACATCATCCGAAGGATCAACTCCATTGCAAAGGAGTATCCGGAAGACAAAATCTGTTGTCATTGCTCGAAGGATCAGCTCTGTTGCAAAGGAGTATCTTGAAGGCAGGATTTACACACATCGTCCATCCGGAAGATACAACCCACCTTTACCGTCCGATGGGTCAGCTTCCGCAGCATGGGAGCATCCTGAAAACAAAAGTCTACTATGCATTCACCAGCTGAGGGGTAAGCTGCCGCATTGAAGGAGCATCCCGATGGAAAAACTTTCTTCATCAGTTGAAGGGTCAGCTACCGCATCAAAGGAGCATCCTGAAGCTTCACACATATCGTCCGAAGGGTCAGCATCCGCAGTAAGGAAGCATCCTGAAGACAATGTCAGACTACATTCATCGTCCCAAGGGTCGACTACCACGTCAAGAGGAGCATCTGAAAGACAACCGGGCAAGAGGATTAACTCCTTTATCCGCCAATTGATTTCATGGCACATTAGCCCATAGTCAATTGGTCGGGTGAAGGGGGGCAACTATAGACCCCAAATCTTGCCCGGTTTCTCAATAAAGATCTGAAAACCTCCGTTCGAAGATGGACAAGGCTTATTTAGGCCCCTAGGCATGTTCACTAGTTTCCATGTAAAGATAGGAGGGATTTCTGTACATAAAAAATAAAAAAAAAGGAAAATCTTGATAGGAGGCTCGAGACGGTCGTCCCGTTTGGCCAGACGGCCGTCTCACTTTCCCTGAAGGATGAGACGTGCGTCTCATTTGGCCAGACGCATGTCTCACCTTCCCTAAAGGTTGAGACGGTCGTCTCGTTTGGCCAGACCACCGTCTCGCCTTTCTTTGAGACTGAGACGGCCGTCTCGATATCCCGATGACCGTCTCACATGTTAGAAGCCCATCCCGGCCTACCTGGCGTGAATTCCTTTAAATAGGAGTCTCCCCTCCCTCATTACACACATCTTGCACTCTTACTACTCTCTTGGAAGTTTTTTGACACTTGAGAGTGACTCTGAACATTATTCCAGAGTTCGAGTGAGCTTTCCGATTTCCATTAAGGTAGAAATCGGTTAAGGAGGTCTCCTCTTGAGACATTCGGTGCTCGGTAGAGTGATCTTTTTCTTTGTTGTGGGTGAGGAGTGTGCTTGTAGAGCGAGAGGATTGCCAAAAAGCATCCTCAAGTTTTGAAGAGTTAATAGAAAGCTCGCTTCAGAGGTTCCTTCTCTATTCTCTCTCTTTTACTGCTTTTCTTGTATGCATTAGATACTATAATCATGTAGATATTAAAATTCTGCTAGTGGATAAATAAATAGGGTAAAATCATAGTTTCTTTTCGTCTTTATTTTATGAACTAGTCCATCATAGGGAACCCGAAAGGGGTGTTGTAGGGTGCTAACACTTTCCCCACACGTAACTAACTTCCTTACCCAACTCTGGTTGTAATGGCCAAAGTTGGTTTTTCTAAAACCAACGTCTTTTCTTCCTTTTTCGATGTTTACGGTAAAAACATCGGCGGGGACTCCATAGAACACTTTTTGAAAACCTCATTTTTTTTGTTCAGCCTGGTTATCGGACGATTTGAAAGTGTTAAACATCTTCTTTAAAAAACGCGAGTCATATAAAACCATCGCGTCGCTTCGACTGCCTCTTTTGACGGCGACGACAAGAATACTTTAAGAAAAGAGTTCCATGAAGGCCAACTAGTGTTCCTCTACAACTCTCGATTCAAACTAATGCCAGGTAAGTTGAGATCTCGATGGGATGGACCTTTCAAGGTCACAAAAGTACATCCCTTTGGCACTGTGGAAATTGAGGACCCCAAATCCAAGACAATCTTTAAGGTCAATGGGCACCGACTAAAGGTATACCATGAAAA